CTTATGTGCTGGTCCCAACGCTCTCTGCTTTTCACGCCGAGACCCATACATACCCTGCTGCCCAACTCTGCCCCTCCTACCGGTCTGGATGAATGGGTCAATTTCAACTCCTTGGTTGTCTGACTTCCATTCAGATCAATTTTCTATCAGTTCTGGTTGTTATTCTGTTTCTAAATTGTTGTCGTCCCTTTCTTGGTTGTGCGAGGAGGCAAAGTGCGCCCACCTATGCCTCCATCTTGGGCAGAATCTTCTTTCTGTTTTCAAATAGGTCAAAGGGAGCACATCTTGGGAAAAAAAGCACAGCTCCAAATTCCAATTGTCCTTTAACTGAAAAATGTTTCACTGCCAAGTGATCCTCATAGTCATTAGTCAAGCTTTTGTAGAATTCCCCATATTCTTTCTCAGTAATGTTGTCAGGATGTCTGATCCAAACTGTCTTTGGGTTGTTCAGCTCTACTTGATCACTGTACTTCTCCTTGATCTTCTTCTTCTTGTTGTCACCACCCTTCCTTTCTTCTTCCTCTTTGTCAGAACCAACATCTTCAGTTTCATGTTTGTCATTGAACTTCTTTTCTTTCTCTTACTTTTCTTCAGTTTCATCATCACTGACTTCTTCATCACATTCTTTCTCCACAAAAAGAGCAATGAGTAGTCAATAAATTGAGAATGTTTTTTTCACGATCTCCTTTATCTTTCCCTCCTCTGAGCACTCAGTAAGGTCTTCTTTCAGATGCAGGGTAACCTTTGTTCTATGACCCATGGGCTCCCTGCATCAGTCCAAACTGTGAACAATCCTCCTACAGAAGGCACCCATGCATACTGCTCATCATCATTGTGTCTGGTGATCACAGCCACTTTTTCAGCAGTCAACAGGCCAGTCTGACACCAAATTGAACAGAGAGATATCTGTACCAGACTGCAAAGCTTCCATGAACACTTTGGTCCCAGATTAAGCAATAGTACCATGGTTATTGATCACATTGGCCTTGGTCATTGCAATTTCAGTATCCACAATAGTGAGGATTTGGTCTTATTTGTTTGAAATGAGATTAAGGTGTTGCTCTTTCCCAGAGTCCAGTTTACTGGAATCTGTCAAGATTTCATATCTGATCTTGTCCAGAGCTTCTAATGAATTTGAAATAAGCTCCCTCAGAAAGATCTTTATTCAAGTAGAAAATATGGATGATCAGTGACATCAACTGGGCAACTTCCACCTGAAAGGCAAATGTCTCAACCTCCTCCTCCTCCACATCAGCTGCATGTGAGTCTGGGTTTCCTCAGGCATCTCAGCTAAGGGACTGTGCGGGCTCCGCAGTAATGCAGCACCAGCATGCAGAAGCAACTGGCCAAGATTTCTTAATCTTTACATACTTATCACCTGTATAAAAACTAAAAACTTTATTCAAAAAAAGAGGAAGGACACTATCAAAAAACAAAAGACATCCCACAGAATGGGAGAAAATATTTACAAATCATATATCTGATAAGGGGCTAGTTATTTTTGCTACTATACCTTCTAGGGCAAGGGTAACAAAGGAAAAAATAAACAAATGGGACTACATCAAACTACAAAGCTCCTGTACAGCAAAAGAAACCATCAACAAAATGAAAAGGGAACCCACCGTATGGGAGAACATTTTTGCCAATGAGGCATCTGATAAGGGGTTAATGTCCAAAATATATAAAGAACTTTACAACTCATCACCAGGAAGATAAATAATTCAATTGAAAAAATGGTCAAAGGACCTGAATAGACACTTCTTCAAACAGGACATACAGATGACCTTTTTTTTTTAATATGAGAAAAAGCTGAAGGTCACTAATCATCAGAGAGGTGCAAATTAAAACTACAATGAGGTATCACCTCATACCTGTCAGAATAGCTATCATCAATAAATAAACAGCAAGTGCTGGTGAGGATGTGGAAAGGGAACCTAGGGCATTGTTGGTGGGAATGCAGACTGATGCAGACACTGTGTAAAACAGTATAGAATTTCCTCAAAAAATTAAAAATGGAACTGCCTTTCGACCCAGCCATCCCACTTCTGGGAATATACTCTAAAATTCCCGAAACACCAATTCAAAAGAATATATGCACTGCTATGTTTATAGCAGTGTTATTTGCAATAGCCAAGATCTGGAAACAGCCCAAGTGCCCATCAGTAGATGAGTGGATAAAAAAAGCTGTGGTACATTTACACAGTGGACTACTACATGGCCCTAAAAAAATAAGGAAATCTAACTTTTTGCAATAACATGGATTGACCTGGAGATTATTATACTAAGTGGAATAAGCCAGTCAGAGAAAAACAAATACCATATGATCTCACTTATATGTGGAATCTAATGGACAAAACAGAAACAGGGGCAAGGATATATGGAACAGACTGACAGCTATCCAAAGGGGGGGAAGGGGCTGGATGAAAGGAAGTGAAGGGATTAGCCAAAGAACATACATGCATAACCCACAGACACTAACAACAGTGTAGTGATGGCCAGAGGAAAGGAGGGGCAGGGGCTGAGTGGAGGTGGGCAAAGGGGAGGAAAATGGGGACCTCTGTAATAGTGTTAACAATAAAAATAAAGTTAAAAAAAAGTTTTACAACTCAATAATAAAAAAATTAATAGGCAATGGATTTGACTTTTGTTTTTCTTAACCCCCCCTCTTTTTTTTTTTTTTTTGCCAAGGATTTGAATAGACATTTCTCCAAAGAAGAGAGATAAATGGCTATTAAGGCCATAAAAACATGCTCAACATAATTTTCCATTTGGGTAATACAAACTTAAATCTCAGTGACACTCTATTAGGAGGGCTATAGTAAAAAAGATAGTAAAAAACAAATGTTAGCGAAGATGTGGAAATACTGGAACTTATACATTGTTGGTAGGAATGTAAAATGGTGTAGCTGCTTCAGAAAACCATTTAGCAGTTGCTCAAAAAGTGAAAGAGTTATCACATGACCCAGCAATTCCATGCCTACGCATACATATCCAAGAAAAATGAAAACATGTATTCACACAAAAACTTATACATGAATGTCCATAGTAGTATTATTTGTAATAGTGCCAAAAAGTATAAACAACCCAAATGTTCATAAACTCATGAATGGGTAAATAAAATGTATATCCACATTGTTATGGTTTGACTTGTGTCCTCTCAACACATGTTGAAGTCCTAGTCCCTAGTACCTGAAATTGTGACCTTAGCTGCAAATAGGGTCTTTGCAGATATAATCACATTAAGATGAGGTATCATTACTACCCTGGAATTATCAGAGCTAATATCACCTTGGAGTTAATACACTTTTATTAAAAAGTAGAGTTAAGTCATAGATTGTCTTCTCATCCCCATTTACTTGTACTGATCGGACACATTTAGGCAGTGTATATAGAGAATGTATTCTTCAGTCAGATCAGTTTGAATCTGACTTGGGCACTTATTGTAAGCTTGGACAAGTTACTCAGACTTTTTGCCTTAATTTTTTTTTAATAATGAGGTAATTTTAAGGGTATATGGTATAATTTCTGTACTAGGTTTCACTGAAGATAGTCATTACTTACACCTTCCTTCTAAGCCAGGGTTATGTGCCCCTCCTGAGTATATCCCCAACACTGGGCACTTACTATGCTTATGTTAATTGTTTACTTGTGCCATACTTCCTCATAGGCTTCTTGGTTACCTTTACGTCCTCCGTGCTTAACATAGGTGCCTTCTACACATTGTAGGCCTGGCTAAAATGCTTTTTTGGAATGAATCCTTTCATTTGTATTCAAGTTTTCCAAACAACTTCTCATTTCAAGGACTTCCCATATGCTAATTCCTCTCTCTGGAATGGTCTTTTTCTTCCTTCTCCTAGCTAATTTCTAAACTTGAGGTCACAACCTAACTTTAACTTTTATTAGAGCTATTTTTTGGCATCCCTGCAGATAGGTTAAATCCCAATTATATGCACACAAATACACTGTATTTCCAACTCAAAGCGCTTAACACAATTTTAATTAAGTAACTGTTAAAAATCTCCTGACCTGCTAGACTTCTGTATGAAGGTAAAGGTGGCCTGTTTATCGTTGCATCCGCTATGCCTAGATAGTATAGGCTAAATGTTGGCTGTTAGGTATTACTAATAGCTATCATAGCCACTCCAGAAGTTTTCTGAATGAATAATCCTTTACAATTCTGTCTCTCTTGGTGCTGTGACATATATTACAACGTGCTGAGAGCAAGTTCAGCAGTACATGAGACACTGCTTAGCGGCTCCCTGTTACTGACAATAAGCATTGCTCTTACTCACTATATTCTAGCAGGCCATTTCCCCCTTTCTATGCCTGTGTTTGAGCCAGTGCCAGGGACAGATCCCAACCAGCCATGCTGATATTTAAGATTCAGAATGGCTCATCTCTAAGAATTACGCAAAGCCAGGAAAGTGCATCAGCTTGATGACAAATGGACCTGAGACCAGGTCCTCAGGAATGTGACTCTGGCAGGGCCATCGATTCTCAAGCTCATTCAGAGCGCTTGGGTCTCTGTTCTGTGTCGCTGTTATTTTTGGTAATGAACCTGCCAGGACTCGGTTTCCTTGGTTCCTAGACTTCTGTGTAGCTTCCAGTTATATGACTATACCTTTCACCTCTTTTGATGATGGTTGAAGAGCAGGGCTGCCTTTGGCGTCTCGTATACTCCCCAAGGATGGGAAATGGGTCCCTCAAATACTTGGTGGGGAGAAGAAACACGGGCAGAATTCAAGTCTTGCATCACAGAACACACTCGGTACCCCAGTGGACTAAGAACTAGAAGGCACTGGTGCCTCCCTCCCTCCTAGGCACCTGCACAAACCCTTGAATACTCTTCGGGGTTAGGCACCTGACGCGTCGGGGGCAACAGCCATATCCTCCGTGGAGGGCCTGAACCCCAGCTACAGGACTCCAGAAAACATTCATCAAGCTTTGCTCTTAACACCCACAGTCGACATCGCACCCAACACCTCCCCATGCCCTGTCACCTTGGCTGCCTGACTCATGTCTCTCCTCACCGCGGCGGCTACCTCTCCGGCGGTCTAGTCGCCCCGCCTCCAGCAACCAATCCCGGCTTGCGCGGCCAACTCCGTAACTACGCATCTTATGCACCGCAACCAATCAACACACAGCATCTCCTTTGTAGCCCCGCCTTTCGCGGAGATGGAGAGAGGGGAGTTTGGCGAACCAGAGCCGCCAGGATCCGGTAAAACCGCGAGAAGCCACGGAGGTCGATTACAGGCAGGAGGAGAACGGAAATCACCTGGACGCCATGTTAGTTAGGGGCTGAGTCACTTCCGGCTTTTCTGCTGCAACCCCTGGTGGCGAAGAGTGAATTGACATTTACAGGATGTCTTCAGCATCTTCAATATACATACCATTCATTACCTCCTGTTTCGGGTTACGGTTTATCTATTAAAGAACCCTTATTATAACGTTTTCCAGTTGCGACTGTCTTCTTGTAGAATTGCATAAGTGAGAGCCAAGTCATAACAACGGTAGCGGACTGACATCGATTGGAACGGTGACTCCCAAAAGTGCTCTGCGCACCTTCTCTCGTTTTATTTCCTTAGAAGGTGAGGATGAGTTACTTGCTTAAGGCCTCAGGGCTTGTAAATGGAATCCCTGTTCCTAACCTGAAAGCCTAGTCTTTAAACACCTAGCCTTACTTATTGGCTTTGTAGTCAAGCAGCCAGAAATGGTTTATAGATCACAAATAATCACAAAGCACTTATTTAAGTACATTTTAACTTATGACCTTGTAAGCATCAAGAAAAATCCCAACCTTGTCCCCACAGAATAATCTTTGTTTGCCTTTTGCATACCACACAGCCTTTCAGATAACTTGTAGATAAAACTTACTTTTTCTTAGAAATAAAGAGATTTTGACCAATGGGTCTCCAAGACCCTTTTCCTCCTCTGTGATTTATGTCATTTGAAAGTTATCACAAAAATAGCAAGATAAGTCTGCTTTGCTTTTTTAATACAATTTTTTATTTGTCAACACATTGGGCATTCTATATTATTTTATATTAATTTTAGGTGTTCAGGGCAGTAGTTAGTCATTTACATACTTTACCAAGTGCTCTTCCCAAGAGGTCTAGTACCCACATGGCACTGTACGTAGTTGTAACAATATTATTGACTATATTCTCTATGCTGTACTTTACATCCCCATGACAATTGTGAGTTGACTTTGCTTTTTTATAAAATATATTAGACTTGCAAAAGAGTGTTTAACACAATCAATTAAGCCAAAAATACTGCGTACTTTCTTTAATCCGGGAAACAATAAAGTGCATGATCTTGTGATATTGAAGTCTCCTGATTGCCAATGAATGATAAAAAATGCTTACTTCATTTCCAGTTAGGATCATAGTCTACCTTCCTGAAAGTTTATAATTTATTGTTATAATTTCTAGCTAACTGGGGTCTTGTATTCAATTAACCAAAACCCTTAATCAGCCAATATTTGAAAATACAGTCCCCATAGTGCCCAAGTCAGTTGAGTCCTGAAGCTTCTCTTTTCTTAGATAAATCTCTATGGTTCCTTCAGCTTTTCCATAAATGGGGTGACTATTCTGGTTGTTCTGGGAATATGTCTTAGTTTGTTGGCATCTCAAAGTATGGGACCCAGAACTGAACAGGAAAGTCCAACATGTTTATCATGAAAGCTCATGGAGCTACATGGTAGGCAGAATAATGGCCTCCAAAATCCTAGGAACTTCTGAATATGTTCCTTATATGACAAAAAGGACTTTGCAGATGTGATTAAATTAAGGATTTTGAGATGGAATGATTATCCTGGATTGTCTGGTGGGCCCAAGATAATCACAAGGATCTTTGTAATTGGAAGAAGGAAGCAGAGTTAGTGAGGGGCTTGAAGATGCCCTGCTTCTGGCTTTGAAGGTGGAGGAAGGAGCCACAAGCCAAGGAATGAATGTGGCCTCTAGAAGCTGGACAGGGTAAGGGAACCATTCTCCTCTAGTAGAGCCTCTAGAAGGAATGCAGCCCTGCTGTTACCATAATTTTAGCTCAGTAAAATCCAATTTGGACTTCTGACTCTCAGAATGCCATCTTCTTGTAGTCTCTTCCATCTTCAAAGCTAGCAGTACAGCACCTTCAATCTTAGACTTCCATTATCCTATCTCCTTCTTTGACTCTCATTCTCCTGTATTGCTTTTCCCTTATATGAGCCCCTGTGATTTTATTGGCCCCACCTGGAAAATCTAGGCATCTCTGCACCTCCAAGATCCTTACCTTGATTGCATCAGCAAATCCTTTTTACCATGTAAAGTAACATACTCATAGGTTTTAGAGATAAGAACAAGATCATCTATATGATATGATAGTAGCTTGGATTAGGGTAATGGAGTAGAGGTGAGAAGTGATTAGATTCATGAAATGTGCTGAAATTACAGACAGAAGAGTTAAGGATTATTTCAAGGCTTTTGGCTTGAACAATTCAATGAATGGTGTTATAGTAGATATAGAATGCTGCAGGAGGAGTCTTTTTGTTTGATTGTTGTTAAGGACAAAGTAAAAATAAATTTGAACTTAGTAACCCCACTTCTGGGAATATATCCTAAGAATCCTGAAACACAAACCAGAAAGAATATATGCACCCCTATGTTCATAGCAGCATTATTTACAGTAGCCAAGATCTGGAAAGAGCCTAAATGCCCATCAGTAGATAAGTGGATGAAAAAGATTTGGTACATTTACACAATGGAATACTACGTGGCTGGAAAAAGAAGGAACTCTTACCTTTTGCAACATTATATTGGCACCTAAGTTACACAGCTCCACTGTAAGTCAACTGATTTTGATAATTTTGGTGTGGATATGTGACAAAATTAACATGATTCTAAAACTTTTATATAATTTACAGGCATTATTTAGATTTCACCAATTGTCCCAGTAATGCCTTTGATAACAAAAATAACAAATGGGACACTTTTGACATCAAAGGGATCAATGGACTATCAGTAAATTTTGTCAAGACAAAGTGGTAAAATATGGTCACATATGGGTAGTGGGGAGGTATAGTTCATTTGTCTTAATAAAGACACTTGCAGATGGTTAGCTAGAGAAAAGGGCTAAGAACAGAATCCATTGAGAAGCTTGGAATAGGAGGAGGCCCATTGTGAAGGAGAAATAGCATCCAAAGAGTTTGAAGAGTGCAGTACTGCTGACACGAGAGTATGGTCAACAGTGGCCAACGATGCCAAGAGCTCTAGTAGGATGAGAACTAGAATTACTTATAGGATTTTGTAAGTGCAAGTCCTCAGTGATTTTGACAAAAGGGAAATGGGCTCAAAAAAGAAAGATGAGAAAGTGTTCACAATAAATAGAAACAATCTCAAAAATCAGCAAAGACATGGAAGATTTGTGGTTAAGAAATGTTTTGGTCCTGTAAGGTAGGGCATTTGGCATTATGTTGATTATTGCTGGGGAGGTTCACACAATACTGATGCCTGGGTCTCACAAGCAGAGTCTTATTGAATAGATCTGGGGTGTGGCCAGGTTCGCGGGATTTTTTTAAAAGCTCCCCAAATGACTTGAATGTGCAGTCCAGGTTGAGAACCACTGCTAGAGGGAGGGGGGGAAATAATGCAAGAAAGGCTTACGTGCTGGACCCAAGACCTACTGTAGATGAGAAATGAGTGTCACAGGGTCTCACCCAGCAAACAGGGCCAGCACTGCTTGAACTATCAAATCTTTTCATTTACAGTATCTAATTTTTCCTACAAGGGTCCAGAAAGCAAAAGAAGATCGGCTTCTACCACTAACTCCACTCCCTCAGAGACAAGAAAGGAACAAAGAAAAACGAACTCAGTATGGCTCCTTGGAGCCTTGGTTCAAGAACCCCTCTCCAGAACCCGGCTGCTTCCTCCGTCTCCCCTGCGCCCGCCGCGCCCCGCCGCAGCCGCAGCTCCGTTTGCCAGTGCGCAGGCGCAGCAGGACCAGCTCCTCCAAGCGATCAGCGGTCCCAGCGCAGGCTTCGTCTCGCGCTCCCGCCCTCTGCCCGCCCCCCCTTCTCCCCCCTCCCCCAAGCTTCTCCCCCGGCCGCTTTGCGGAAGGGAGGCCGCTATGGCAGATGAAATCGCCAAAGCTCAGGCCGCTCGGCCTGGTGGCGACACGATCTTCGGGAAGATCATTCGCAAGGAAATCCCAGCCAAAATCATTTTTGAGGATGACCAGGTAGGCACCGGGCGTCACCTCGCTCGTGGGCTCAGGCTGGGTGGCCACGCGTGGGAACGCCCGTTCCCCACCGAGGGTAGAGAAGGGTCGAGCAGCGCCGCGGGGAAGGGAAGGGACCGGACCCGGCCGACCTGTGCGGCCTCTGCCGCGGGCCCCCAGCCTGCGGCCTGCCGGCGCGTGCCGGCGCTCCGGTTACGCGTTATCAGCCCGGGCGCGGGCCAGGCCGCCGGGCGCCGCAGGGCCTGCGTCGCGGGTCTTTGCGCCTGTGAAGGGCGCGCCGGGTCTGCGGCGTGGGCGACCGCCTGCTCCGCGGCTGCCTCGGACCTCGCCTTTGTCAGGAATCTCACAATCTCGCCAACGCTCTGCCTGACAGGGCGAAACCCGATCGCGCCCTGACTCAGGCCCAATCTCCGCGATCTCCCGCGCACGCTGCCCGGCGATCCCCGGATCCTCTCCGAGCCTGTGGCGCTGGAGGGCCGAGGGCACGCGCTTCGGGGGCGGTTGGGGGGGGGGGTGCGGGCGCGGGCCGGTTCGTCACCCCCACTCGACCCCCACCTCTCTACTTTGGCTACGAACTTTGAACTAAATGGGCCTGCTTAGGGGATTTGCTTTTCTTTCGCCCCGCCCAGGACAAATGGTTCCTTTTATATTTGGCAGGAAGCAATTTTGTGCCAAGAGACTGAGAATGTAGTTCTTGTTGACCTCACCATAGGTGAAATTCAGTTTTAGAGAGGCCGACTTGATGTGACTTTCAGACATCTCGTGTGAAATATTTAATGGGCCGTTGTATTTCTGGGTTTGGGTCTCAGATAAAGCGTGGCAGGAGTTTGGTTGATTAACATGGAAAACATTCTGTAAACTTTGTTAAATTTAAGAAATTTGGAAAATAAGGGAAACATTCCTTTTAAACTACTAGGAGCGTTCTTAGACTCAAATTGTTAATTCCTCGAGGTGAATGAAATACTTTTGTTAATACTTAGGGAAGTTGTTTTGAAGAGTGCACATTTCTTTTGAAATAATTTCAGTTGCTTTTTATAAATGATCGTTGAAACACTGGCCTTTGAACCACCGTAGTCCCAACAGTGTAACAGCATGGGGCAATCTAAATGATACAGCATTCTATATGAAATACCCAATAGAATTACTCCTGAGACAGGTAAGCAGGATGGGTTCTAAGCAGCTTCCACCTTCAGTAGGGAACAAGAGATACAAAAACATTCATGTGGTATGTCATTTGTCTACATGCTATCTTCATTTCTACAAAAGAAAATAAGTACATTTCTTAAACCATTGAGTAAAATTGGAAGAAGTTGGTATTTATATAAATATAAAACTGATTATTGCAGTAAAGGAAAAAAGCCAGATATTACACAAGCAAGGGCTCCTGACCTAGGGAAGGTGAGGAGAGGCATCAGAGAAGGTATCCTTTTGGCAAGGAATAGCAGTTTAAGTTAGACCAAAGCTGGGGTGAGGGGGGAAGAGGATCATTGCCCTGGAGGAAACCACTTGAAAAAGCACTGAGGGTAAGAGGGATGAACCGTGTGGCTTGAGCTTCAAGAGCTGTATGAGATCAAACTGGAAAGGCAGACAATGGTTTGTCCACATTAATTTATACTAATCCTTTGGATCTGTTTAAATGTTGCTACCTCGAAGTTGCTACGCCCAATCTAAATCAGGTTTTTCTCTGATAGTCATTTATTTTACTTTTGTTCTGTAACATGTAGGATCTAAAGTCAGTCTTCCCATTAGACTGTAAGTTCCATGAAAAGGACCAGGGAACCACATGCATTTGGGTACATTACTGATTTCCTAGCATTTACTAGTGTCTCCCATGGGGTTAGTGTGAAAGAGTAAGTTTAGCTTACAAGATGATATATTCACTAAACTTTGATTTTTTCCCTCTCCTCTTTAGTGTCTTGCTTTTCATGACATTTCCCCGCAAGCACCAACGCATTTTCTGGTGATACCCAAGAAGCATATATCCCAGATTTCTGTAGCAGAAGATGCTGACGAAAGTGTAAGTGAAGTTACTAGCACAAATTTTATTTTCTTGCTTTTTGAATCGGGAGACTAAATTTTGATCTTAAATGGATGTTACATATTCGTTTTACCAGGGGCATTACTAAAGAAAGCAAAATCATTAGGGCTTCAATACTAATTACAAGTAGTTTGATTTTTAAAAAAGGAGATATACTTGACATGTTGGTTTTAAGTATACAACATAATGATTGAATATATGTATATATTATGAAATGATCACCATAGTAATTCAAGTTAATGTCCATCATCACAAATTCTTAAGCAGAAAGGGTTCCACATAACGATCAGTTGATGAGACTCATTTTTCCTCAAGTGGCATATCATATCAGGGAGGGTTTATAAATTCTTCTATTAACACTGTTAGAGGGAAAAATAATTATTTGGATTTACCAGGAGGTACAGGCCTCAATGAAAATATTTTCCTAATGCTCTTTGTGGTAGGTTGTATAATTGCTCATAAAAATTGATAATTCTTTAGGGTGCATTATACCTGCTGCCTCACTGATGTCAGGACTGGTGATATGACTTGATTTGGCCAATGAAATGATACATGTCTTCTGCATGGAAACTAAGAACTAGTACCTGCTTTGCCATGTTCTCTCTTCCCTCTGCCACTGTGGTCCTGTAGTGGCTGCTCCATCATCCTGGGTTTCAAAGTGAAAAAGATGTAGAAATAAAGCCTGTCCAACTTGCGATGAACATGTAGTGAACACAAGACATGTTTCTTTGTTTTGAGCCAGACTTTGGGGTGCTCTGTTACCACAGCATAACCAAACCTATCCTGATTGATACACTGTCCCATAACGAGAGAGCAAGATGTCTTGCTTTATTGAGAACACTTAAAAATTATTTATTATTTTTAATTTTTTAAAAGATTTTATTTATTTTTAGAGAGGGAAGGGAGGGAGAAAGAGAGAGAGAAACATCTATGTGCGGTTGCTAGGGGCCGTGGCCTGCAACCCAGGCATGTACCCTGAATGGGAATCGAAGCTGTGATGCTTTGGTTCACAGCCTGCACTCAATCCAGTGAGCTACGCCAGCCAGGGCAAAAATTATTTTTATTGAGAAATAGATATGTTTCTAATCTTTTGATTGGAATTAGTAATAAATAAATATCTAATCTTACTGGGTTTTTATTAAAAGTTATATTGTATTAGGATTAAAAGAGTTTCCAAATATTTCCATAGAGGAGAATTTTTAAAATCTCCCTTTTATTAATTTTTTATTGTATTTTTTCCATTACTCCATACTCTCTTAAACCACCCTCTCTCCCCCCAGAGTCACCACAAAGGAGTTTTAACCTGGCAGTTTTTGTAACTTAATATTTCACCTTGGTAGTTATGATTTAATGTCTAGAAGTTATAAATCACCGGTGCTTAAGACACTTTTTTTTCTTTTCCAGCTTCTTGGACATTTAATGATTGTTGGCAAGAAATGTGCCGCTGACCTGGGCCTGAAGAAGGGTTACCGAATGGTAGTGAACGAAGGCTCCGATGGGGGGCAGTCTGTCTATCACGTTCACCTTCACGTTCTTGGAGGTCGGCAGATGAACTGGCCTCCTGGCTAAGCATGTTTTAGGGATAATTTTCCCTACTGCAGGCAATGGTCAGTTTTACAAGTTAAACAGTATGCTTTTGCCTGTGTATGGAGAGATTGAGGAAATAATTTCTAAAACCCACATATAATAAAAGACATTGTTGCATGTTCTGAATTCTGTATTTGATTTATTGTTCTGAAAATATATCTGCTGGGATGTATGAAGGTGGTGATCATAACTTGGGAGGTTTTTTGTTTTTTCTCCCTTAAGTTGATAACTCAACATATGTACATTGGTATAATGGTGTGACCATCTTTGATGACAAGTTACAAAATTTCATAAATTTAGCTTTAGCTTTGAAATATCCTTTCAGTCCTAGAGAAGATTTTCTAGTCCAGTTTTCTTATTTTCTAAGAACAAAGGAATATGTGATGTGACTGAAGCACAAACAGTTTGGGGTTTAGAAATAATGTTGTCCAGCCCATACCTTTCCCCTGGACTGCTGGGATGATTTTGGAAAGGATGAAGGTAGATGAGTCACAGACTTTTGATGACCACGTGAAGCCATGCATGGTTATTTCCTTGTTACCGAAACTCTGGCTGCGAATTTATTATAAGGCCTTGGAAACCTGTTAGAATTAACTTCAAATTGAAAACTCGCTGTTTTGAATGGGTTACGTTCACACCAACAAAAATACTTGAGTTGTGCGCGAATCTGGCTGTGTGGAATTAGGGGGGAATCTCAGGGTCTGGGTGCTCCCTGCGTAGCCTGACAACCAAGCTTTCTTTTCAGTCTTGCCAGGTACCCTCGCCTGTCTGAAGGCCACTGTGGCAGGGTTTGATGTGTGCAATTGAAAATTGTTTTTCTTAGTAATTTTTAAATTTGTTAGTGATTTTTAAAATATTATTGGGGGATTAGGAAACTTGGCCGTTTATACCTTACAAATAATTTTTTCTCAGTCATTTTTGGTTTAAGGTGTTTAAAGTATTTATATAGTTAATGTATAAATTTTTATTTTATATTTTAAAAAGACTTTCCCACCCCAGGAGGATTGCTAAAAATTATTATTTTTCTCCCTAATACTTGTATGGCTTTATGTACTTTTATGACTTTTTTTAAGTGGGGGAAGTTCTGGGAAAAGTTTTGGAGGGGTTTGTGCCACTGTAAAGAAGGTAATGAAAGAAGCATTTGTATTGTGTGTTAGAGGGTTGAGTCAGCTTTTTAGGCATACTTCCCACTAACTTCATCAAACCAGTGCTAATAAATCACGTAGACAGCTGCTAATTTGTCTTCCTGGTTGTGTCTGACTTTTCTGTCTAAAATGGTTCTGAGACAAAATTTTCAACATGTGAAGGGGTTGGGGCTTCTACAGAGTACCAAGTTATTTTCCAGACATTAGCTGGGTGTCTTACAGTTCAACTCTGTTCTGACTCTTTGCCCAGAGATGGCATGGGATTCCATGGGTTAAGGGTTCAGTCCTACAACACTTCCGGCTTCCGTTGCCAGATAAGAGTCCAGGTTGTTATCAGTGCTTTGACCAATGGGCTGTAAAGCAGAGCTTCCTAAAACTCCTTCCTCTACTGGGAATAACTTTCGAGAGGAGCTCATAGAACTGAGACAGTTCCTCCCATCAAAAAGAGGGGAAGGGAAAATGCCAAAAAAGTTACGTTGCAAAATTATGTCCCTTTTTTGAAGGAGCTTTTCCAGACATGTCACACCACCTATTTATATATCATTGGCCACCTAAATCTGTAAGAAAAGCCAGATACCTTGCCACCCAGAAGGGAATGAAAGTGGAGTAGATATTGAGAGACAAGTTGCAGTCTCTGCTTTGTCACTGCTTGGAGCTATTCACGGATCGGGAAAAGCAGCCAGGCATTCTTGTACTTCACCTAACTGCTGGAAAAGATTGCTCCCAGTCACCATAATTTGTCTGTATTCACTCTTCACCACTGCCTCAAGACCAGGAGGCATTTTGTTGACCACTATAATCAGTGAATAATAGTAGTGGGTGTAACTTTAATTCCAACTAAAGGTCCTTCCTTTACTCCTTTCTGGTGCTCTATCATACTAATTACAAAACACCTTTTTCCATTCATAATGCCATACGAAATAGTGACTGAATTTTAAAAAGCCTTTTTCTTATGGCATGGGTTTTAGTTAAAGATAAAAAAGTGGTTAAGCCTTTCTCAAATATGTACTGTAAGTATGCCAAGAGTTGGTATCAGTCCTCTACGTATCAATCAGTCCTTCATTCATCTGTAAAGAGAGAAAACGAAAGCACCTGCTGAGTACTTCTGGTCAAGACAGGTAAACACAGCTTGCTTCCTTGCACAACAACTTCAAAAGTACAGCTAAGCTATAAACAACCACGACTCAGAACTGTCAGAAATCAAGTTGAATGGAAGTCTGACAGCTATGGAATTAAAAAAAAACAACAAAAAGACCCCACATCCATCCAGAGTGGTAGGAGGGGCATAGATGCAGTAGAGGCTGGTCCCACATCCAAGTGTGGTGGATAAAAATTCGGGAGGGATATCTTGGGAGTGAGGAGTCCAAGCCCCACACCAGGCCCCCCAGCCCAGGGTTCCAGTGCCAGGAAGATACGTCCCCATAACTTCTGGCTGTGAAAACCAGTGGGGATTGAGTTGGTGGAAGAAACTTCTGGAGTCCCATGCAGTTCCTCTTAAAGACCCTACACATGGACTTACTCAGATTCACTCCCACTGAGTTTCAGCACTGGGGTAGCAGCTTGAAAGCCACCATGGCATACAAGGAGGACCTGAAGTGTGTGGCATCAAGACAAGAGCTAGGGAAGAACTTTCTCTCAGACAGAAAGGCAGGCAAGGCCATTGTTCCTTTCCTAAACCCTCCCCGGACACAGTCACAGAGTTGGCAGGTGGTGCCATCTACGAGACTCCATCAGCCTGGCTAACACTGTTTGCCCCACTGGGGATTCCCTGAGACTCTGTCGCACCCAGCTTACAGGCCCACCCAAGCTGTTAACAGTGACTTTTCCATATGAATGACTGGTCTTGGCTCATGCTTCACAACTTCCTAAAATCTCTCAAACAAGCTACAGCTGGCCTCGGTGAGAACCCAGGTGCTACACCTCTTGCTAAGTGGCCCTTGGCCTGGCTCCAGTAGCAGTCACCCTAGATTCACGGCTTGGCTTTACCTGTGAATCTCCCAGCCCAGCACAAGTAGCAACCATCTCAGGTTGCTTTATAGTTCGGGCAGGGTGGCCCTGGGCAAAACACAAGTGGGTGCTGACCCTGGCCTGCACCACATGAGCTGACACTGGCCTGCAGGAAGGCAGTGTGGGGAAATGGGTAAAGAGGTGAGGAGACTTAAGAAGCACAACTAGGTAGTTACAGAATAGCCATGGGGATGTAAAGTACAGTACAGGAAATGGAGTAGCTGAAGAAATTATACACACGTCCATGGACGTGAACCATGGTGTGGGGATTGCCTGAGGGAGTGGGGGGGTGCTGAGTGGAGGGGGGCAAAGAGGACAAGTTTGTGACAACTGTAATAGCACAATCAATAAATATAATTAAATAAGAAGGAGTAAGCACCTGCTGCTGATGATAATTTCTTCTTGAATTGCTTTCTATGCTATATAGGATCCTTTAATAAAGACATTTTTGCCTATAATAGCTCATTAAGTTTTCTCCCTGAATATATTTATTATAATTATAGTCAGTTCTATAAGCTTCTCAAAAATAGTGTGACTTGCATATCCATTTGTTTGTTTAGAGTAAATGCTGATGTTTCTATAGCTGGTTTCTTCTCTGTTTCACACTGAACATTTTTTTTTTTTGCATTTGTCCTAGAGAAAATGCAATTGGTCTAACATGGATTCATTGTACTTTGTGTGACTATGACCTGAAACCTTGGGTGGTTATTTTTTTAAATATTCAAGAGCATTGATTTATACCTTAGAGTAAAATCCACCTTTTAAAATTGTACATCTCAGTAAGTTTTTACAAATGTACATAGTCATGAATCCAACACCAATCCAGATACACCCTAGTTTAGTCTTTCCGAAAAGACTTGTTAGGAGGCCAGTTTATAATCCATGCAAGTGGTGATGGTAGCCTGGACCAGTAGGAGTGATGGAGTTGATAGGCAATCAGACTCAGCAGGTACTCAGCAAGGTGAAGCTGGCAGGATTTGCCAATGGGTAAGATATGGGGTATGAGGCTAGAGAGGAGTCAAGAATTTACTATTTCTCAAGGTTCTGTGGACTGATGGGGCAGTCTCTGTGGCTTTTGCCTGAGCGTGGTCATGTCACTGTGGTCTGTTGAAGGCTGAAGGGTCCAAGTGGACCCCATTCAGATGGCTCACGACTGGCACTGGCAGTCAGCTGGGGGCCCTTTGATCTCCTCCGTGTGACCCCTTACTCTCCTTTAGGTTAGATCAGCTTACACGGTGGTCACAAAGTAATAAACCACCCCACACTTAGTTTTAAACAATTACAATATGTTATTTCTTATGACTGTGTGTGTTGATTGGGCAGCTCTGCTTCTCTCATCTGGACTCACTCATGCAGGCTAGAAGGAGCGGATCTGGCTGGGACAACTGGGACGGCCTGGCTTCTTTCCATGTTGACTTCAACCCCAAGCTTCTTAATGGTTTAAGAAGAACTGCCCACTCAACACACAAATAGTTGAAGGTTCTCAGGGAAGCATTTCAAGAAAGTAAATCAGATATTGCAAGGCCCCTGCAGGCCTAGGATTCAGAACTCAAATAATATCACTTCCACCACAGGTTGTTGGTCAAAGCAAGTTAAAAGGCTGGTCTAGACTCAAGGGTTTGGAGAAACAGACCTCACTGATGCATGGGGAAGGGGGAAAGTCCCGTTGCAAAGGGGCGCGCATGCTAGAAGGGGAGGAAGATGCAGCTGTGAAACAGTTTGCCCCACCACCATCCTGCTGACTCAGCTACTTTCTCTCCTGTTGCCATTTAAGACTTGTTGCTTCTTATTCCCTAAGAGAAGACAAGGACTCCTAAGGGATTAACTTGGGGCCAGATCTCCTTATAAACTACAGAAGAGCCTATGAAGGGCTGGTCAGTTTTCATTGTGGTGAGGCAACCCTCTATCCATGGTAGCCGATGTGTGTGATCTCACAGACTCTTAACAGAAAGGACAGTGGGAGTGGCAGGTCCT